TACTATATATACATATATATATATATATATATATATATATATATATATATATATATAGGGTGTCCAGAACCATTGTGTCCCTCGCGTTTCACAAATCCTTTAATCAGTTGGATGTATCTTTCTCGCAAAGCATAGAGAATCCGCGTAATCGTTTTGGAGATACAAAACGAAATAAAATTGCGGAACATTGTGAATTAAATATATTGAAAATACAACCAACGTTATCTAGAATAACGTATTAAATGATATTCTTCAATCAATATCAATATTTATAGTGGAATTTAATTTAACCGCGATATTTTTTGTAAAGTTATAACAATTAGAATTACATACTTTACATATAATTTTTATCAAAGAGGTTCCTTTAACCTTGAAAAAGATTTTATAGCGTACGACTGAAACATCCTGTACATTGCTCTTAAGCGCACAAGCAATCCTTGTCTCCATGTCAAAGGTCGCGAATGGGTGCCGCGATAGCGGCGATTTTCGATTTGTTTTTCTCCGAGAAATCAATCGCCGCGGTAATAATATATAACGAGCAACGATAATACAACTAGACTGTACAATATGATTCTTTAAAGATCCGACCTCACGTTGACCCGAATCGGCGATCGATTGAACGAAACGACGTCGCGTTCACCCGCTGATACCGTTCGCGGAAACCAGATTAACTGAAAAACGATATACGTCGATGTACGCCTTCCGGCGAAAAATCCCTCTAAATTAGATCAAGCGAACATTAATCCCCGCTGCAATTGCGAGAAAGGATTGGCAGCCGCTGATCCCTCATGATTAATTCATTCTGGAAGTGATTAAACGGGGAGGACAGTCCTCCGTCTGTTCTTGGACGTACGACGGCGAACAACTTCTCCGTATTACCATAAGATCGCATCAATTAAATAATTATTTCCATTTATTTCATGCAACGCAGCAGAGAAATAAAAATTACTTAGAACGTTGTGGAGGAAGCAGTATATTTATAAAAAAATAATTAATATCATCATAAATAAATGTAATTATTTATTATAAATATAAATTTACAATTTCCCAATTTTAAATATAGTTTTTCAAAATATAATACAAACATTAAAAAAAAAAAAATTGAAAATTCTTTTTTACATAAAAATTCCTAAAGCAAAAGTCAATATGAAAAGTAAATAAATTAGAGCTATCAGCTATTTTTTTTGTACATGGTCCCCTTAATAAAACACTTTCGTTTTTTTGTAATTTTATTATCAAATGTTCGCATCGGTCGGTTCCGAATATCGTTTAGGCCAGATATCGCCGCGATGTTAACACCAACAAAAAAGAGAGGAAAAGGAGAGAGGAGGGGGGAGAGATAGCGCCGTTATTTCGGCCCTGAAATAATATCAGCCTGTCCACGTTGACGTGTTGAAACAATATTTTTACAAGGGCGTCTGTCCGTCGCGTCGTAACCCAGAATCCGGCAGCTACAATATCGCTGTTTTTCGACCAGCCATCTCATCGCACCCCCCCCCCCCCCGGAACGTCCCGATGTGCTTCGGTCACCGACATCTCGTGGATCGATTTGCGGGAGGTAAATGCGCCAGATCTCGTGTTCTGGTAGAGCGGCATGAAACATTTAAACCAGAAACTACAGAGGAGTACCGTGCGCCAAATGCGCGATCAGCGTATAATTTCAGGTGTAATGTTACAGTTATGCAAAGTATCCTCTCCGCATATGTGTTCGTGTTTATTTAGAAGTACAATAATTTCGAGGTACAATAATGTCTGTCGATTTCCTGGTGAAGCGAAGGAAAATAAAGCGATAGTAACGATGCGTGTTCGCATATGCACGCGTCCCGTGGGCGATATTTTATCGCGTGCTACACCACATTCGTGCACGATTACACAAATGAGGGTGGCGACAGTTGAACGCTGTAACCCCTTCCGTGCTTCAGATATTTATCTCCGTTAAGTATGCTAATTTCTTTCTTCGGAACCTATTTCGATGACGCATAATAGAAGAAGTGTCGCAAACATTACATGAAATGCAACTGCACGTTACATATAGATAAGCAGATATTATTAAAAAAATGTTTCAAAGCTTGATATACTTGGTATATATTTTTTTGTTGCATACAATAAGGAAAGAGAGATATTTCTCTTGAAATAAAAGGAAACGTTTAGAAACGAGAACATTATTGTTTTCAAGTGCCATCGCAAGTTTCTATTTTCTTCACAAATAAAATTTATAATTATTACTTTGCAGATATCTTTACATTTTCATAATATTATACCTACGCCATTGGATTACGTGTTACGAAACTTCTATATTTTTATTTGTTTGTTTAGAAAAAAATATTTGTCTTAAAACATGATAGATAGGAGTTTCAAAAATGATCGCATTAATGAGATGCGAATTTTGTGT